CTCATCTGTCTGTCCTTTCNATATATTTTTTTTTTCTTGATTTATATAACAAATTTTCTTTCAATATTTAAATTATTGGTAGCTTGGTATCCGGGTTTAACGTATACTTAAAGTGTTTTTTTATTATTTTTTTTAATTTGTTGGAAGTATTTTAGGTGATAAGAAGTAATGAGAGAAGATTAAAAACCGTGAAGCTGTGTGCAGGATAACATTATAAGTTCGACTCGAAGCTGTAGATAAAATTTTATTACAGGAATTGAATGGTCATTATGATTTAAGTGATAATGAAAAGCCATAAATTATATGTTGAAGAAAGTTTTTATCCCCCCTCTTTTAAACACTACTACTATTAAATTCTTTATTAAAATATGCAGGGTGGTCCAAAAGACTGTTAACCGCCGTAAAGACACTTAAATATTACCTATAATCATGCCGATGTAATAATTTATAGTCTTGTCCTATTTGTGGCTTCGTTTGTAGTGGAATATACAGGGTGGCCCAAAAGTCGGTTAACCGTTTTAAAGGCTAAATTGTACTAGATTCCAGAAAAGTCTTTTTTATATCCAAATTTTTATTTTATTATTATATAACGTTATTTTACACTTAAGTGGAATATTTACCAGAAAGCAAAACAAGCAATTGCTTCGGGCCCCTTCCTCTTTATTTATTGGGCTATAATTTGAAAAAATTGTTGACCTATAAATTCTCACTGACGTCCGTCCGTCCGTATGGGGACATTTTGGTTGAGAGGGGGTTGATTTTTCCCAAAATTTTACACAAAAACACATAGTATCAAGCAAGGGGGCAACTGCCTTCCCAAATGAAGAAGGCCATTTCCTCTTTGCTCTGGGAGGGCAGCTGCCTCCTTGCCTTTCGACTCCTACGTCGAATATCATCATCAGAATTAATTAATTTACTTTTACATTTTTAATGTACGTAAAATTAGTCATTCACAAATCCAGGAAAGTGTCTAATTATTTGATGAGACTTAGCAATTAAAATTACAAGCAGAATAATTACAAGAATCCTCTCTTAACGTTCTCCGTAATTCGGATGTCTATGTAAAAATACATTATATTTTCAAGAACACGAGTAACACTTATAGCTATTTTATGAATTAATATATATTATTCATACGAAAATCCAGTGTTTTATTAAATTTTTGTTTAACAATAAACTTCATTAATTTAATCACTTTTTTTTTTTACGCTGCTTCCACCGATTATCGAAAGAAAGCGCGCGGTTAACTGACTTTTGGGCCACCCTTTATCTTAAAGAGAATATGGCATACCCAGTATAGAGTTAACAGCTTTACTTTATGACGTGATCTTAAAATTATATATGCTTTAAAACATAAAAAAATTTATAATTTTGAGAAGAAATTTCTAGACATTTTCGTAATTTATATCAATAAGAATTTTATGGGAATAGTTTGTTGTGAAGTGTAATTTATAGAAATTCAGAATCATAAAAATCACATAAAACATTATAAAAGCTAAGCAAAAGATGCAAGAATAATAGTCATAAAAAAAAAATTCCAATCTTGTATGCAATAACAACACCAGAAAATAATGCAATTAGTTTACAGGGTGGCCCAGAACTCAGTTAACGGAGACGTATTTTTATTTATTTATTTATTTTCAAGATTACTTCGTGATTAACAAAATCTAAACTAGTTTTAGCCGTTCTTATAATATCTTTGTTAACTGATTTTTGGGCCACCCTCGTAACGAAGATTAAGCGGAGATGTGATTTTATTTTGACTACAATTAATTGAGGAAGTGAAGCTATCAGGGCTAATTGTTTATTTAGCGAATCAATCATCATTAGAATATTTTTACGGTTGATATCTCACGTGTATTACAAGAGATGACACGTGTTCATCAGTGGCTTATTTAATTACGCTTCATTTGCCACGATTTTTCAAGTGTTTAATTAGAACTTATATTGTAGAGAAGTTTATATCCGGAGTTTAAATTCAAGAATTTTTGATATTTAGTGAAGTCCAAAATACGATTCTTCGTGTTGATCCTTTAGTAATTCGATACTACAGTATATTTTACATACAGACACATACAAACCTCTCCCATCTATAGGGAAAATTGGGACACGGTTTGGCATTCTGCATTTACTTACAACACATGATTTTCTGACTAAAAATACCCTTTTTTTGTGGGCCCACTATGTCTGCAGGCTCTAGTGATTTCTTCTCCCTGCAGCCTACGCATTTACATATACAATGGCACCCACCTGGATACACGCAAACACTCGTCTGTACACGCACACGCTCACACCTACACATACTTGCACACACCTACGCTATCCCTACACACCCAAAGGTATAAAATAGTGAAGTAACTTTATGTACAGTATATATATATTGACATATAATTTTATTCTGTGCAATATATTTTACTGGTTTGATTGTTTACGTAGACATAGCGAATAATCAAAATACGAACAATTGAATATGATTTAAATTTCAAATTAAAAGTTAATGTACGAAATATGAGGTCGCTGCTATTAAATTTCAGTTATAAAATTGAATTTCTCGATATGTTCCTTCTGAATTCAGTGGGTAAAACTGCTCGACTGTTAGTTGGTCGTGGGACCAACTAACAGTCGAGCAGTTTTACCCACTGAATTTGTGGGTTTGCTCCTCACCAACGAGCTGGGCACGTGGAGTTTTAGGGTTTCTTCATGTGTGTTACCTAGTCTCCAGTTATGTGAGTAACCATACGAATGTGTTGGGTGTGTCACGTGTCGCAAACTCCTTCGGTGAATGGTCTCAAGTCTCAATGAATGAGTTAATACTACATGATATTCTCAACACGTATCTGTTGTTACTCACATAACTCAAGACTAGGTACCCTGAAAGGGGCCAATACGCCCTTATAAAGTTTTCCCGGGAAGCAGGATCGTCCACGTGTTGCCTTGCCGTATCCTATCAAACCAGCAACCCTTCTAAATTCACTCAATCATAGCGAAGTAACTGATGAAAATAAAAGTCACATTAATTAATATTTTTAGTGTGTATAGTAACTTATAAATTAGTAATAGAGTTTGAAAATAAGTTGGATGAGCCATTCATCAATTTAGCCCTATACATTATATCATTACCGTGGCATGTTTTTAATATAAATTTGGCACTTGTATATTCGAGGTTTGAACTAAATGACCCTATTGTTCTACCTCTCTCTTTCTCCGGAGCCGATCTCAACCATTGGTACACGTACCACAAGAAAAATCCGTTAGTGCTACAAGTCTAGACACACAAGACACAGGTGGTACTCGTGTGAAAAAAGGTTGAGAACTGTTAATTGATATAATAAAATTAAATATTCTCTTACATTAATATTTCATGCTGTTTATAGATGTATTGAATTACTATATTATTTATATATGCCGTATTTGTTCATTATAATTGATTACACACTATTACTTTCCATGTCTCTACGTACAAAATATTGTTTTTAGTACCAGAACCTCTCACAAGTAAAAGAAACTTGAGAGGCCTTAGCCAATAGACAATATTATTTTTTCCCCACTAAATTGAGGCCCCAAGTATTTTAGAAAACTGTATTATATATATATTTTTTTTTTTAAATAATAAATCTAACCAAAAAATAATAATAATAATAATTTTCTTAATTACAACTGAATGGAATAATTTGTAACAAATGTTTTGAGACCTTCGTAAATGGGAGCAGCAGGAGCCATTTGATATGGTTACGTAAAATGGTACTGATAATCCCCGTGTAATAGAGATTGCCATTTATAATGTGGAAAGACATTCTAAACTCGAATTTTTAAGATATAAGAAGTAAATTACAGAAATGTAATTACACAAAATTAAAATGGTTTCGGTGCTAACAGTTTCAATTACACTATGGTGCTAGCAACGAGTTGGTTTGCATTTACTTCATTGAGTATTAAGTGAGAGAGAGAGAAAATCACTTTACCTGATTACATGTTTGCTTCAATGAGAAGTAATGTAATAAGAAATTCAAATTACATTAATTAAAATTATTAAGCTGACAAAATTATACATTTATATATCATTTAGAATATAAAAAAATATATATACAGTACAGTAGATCCCCCTATAAGACGGTAGATACAGTAGATCCCCCTATAAGACGGTAGATACGTTCCGTTCTTTATGAATCAATTTTGTAGGAATCATAGTTTACGGACTACGGCTGTTTGAAAGGTTTTCTTTCATAAAATTAATCGATTCTAGACTAATTCGACTCAACATTTCCAAAATACGTATATTTTTTTGNTTGTTTACGGATAATTCCACAATTTTTATAGGAATCATAACTATAGGAAACGGTTTTATAGGGGGATCTACTGTACTTACAATTGTTTTTTTTTTTCTTCTTCTAAAATAAGTTTAATTACAGTTTTTCTCAATGAAAATTTGTGGTGATTGATTAATTAACCTTGCAAAAATTGTTTAAAATTATATGAAAATTCCTGTTTCTCACTAGAATTTCTGCCTTAGAATTAGTATTGTGAATATGAGAATTAATACAGTATAATGGGACATACAATAATTTAGAAGAATTACCATAAATAATAAAGTGGGATCAAATATATTTGTTCTTTGGAATAATTTAACTCCTATTTTCAAATCAGAATTTCTGTATAAAAATTAATATAGTGAATAAGGAAGGAACCGTTATGATGGAATGCATAATAAATAATAATACTGGATTTATAGGAATTAGTATTGTAAAATTTGATATGTTTATATTAAGATTTATTTCTCTAGAATCTAAAGCAATAAATTAATTTCTATTATTTTTACCAGAATTTCTACAAAAGAATGGGCGTTTCGCCTAGTAAAGCGGCTGGATAAGGTGACTATAAGCCAATTTTTTACTCCTAAAAACTGTTTTTTTAAATAATAATTATTAAAAATCCCTTTTATTTGTAATAATTTAATCTTTTTATGCATTATAAAGCTGTTGTAATGCACAAATACGTTATAACAGAGACATTCGATATGTTAATGTTGCGTGTCTAATAGTCCTCCTCTCTTCGCTTACAAATTTTTGTATGGAGATATTTAACATTTTTTTTCATACTACAGTGCGTGACTAATCTTTTATTTATTCTGAATCATCTATAAAATAAACATCAGGCATGTTAATAAAGGCAGTAAATATAAATATTCGTCGCGACAAAACTTAAAAGCTCTTTTTAAAAAAGTCTATTTAGTTTTTTTTTAATATTTTTCTTTAGAATTAACATACAAAAAATATTTTATAAACAATTTAACGTCAAGCAAAAATAACTTTTTAACACAAATAATTTTAAATAAAGCAATTGTCATAAACAATAATAATTTAATTACCATAATTATCACTAGAGGATGTCGTTTCACATATATCGCCCTCTATCGGAAAGCATCGAAGGAGATTGATCTCTATGATAAAAATTATATATACAATACAATACCAAAAAAATATAATACAAAAACAAAAAATAAATATTTTACGTACGAAATACAATGGAATAAATAATTTTCAAGAAATATTTTTGAGGCCTTCTTAAATACAGTATATGCCCAGTACCAAGTGATCCCAGTCCTCTGATATGGCCTGTATATAATTAAAACACAAAATATTAAAATTATTTAAACAAAAATTTTTTAATAGAAAAATCTATTATGATTATATCATTTAAGGTTTTTTTTTTCACTAATAAAATTTATAAGTACTTTTTTTTACAAGTAAAACTATAGCCACAATATCAGTTTATATCTAAATAATTTATATGTTTATATAGTAAAAGAATTGCATTAAACTGTATGGACTTTATTGTCTTTTTTTTTATTATTAAAGTTTAATTGGTTTAAATAATTTATATCCATTTAGCAAAAGTAACAAAGTTAGCTTTTAGTTTAGAGATTTACTTTTAATTTTAGAAAAATACAATCAATATAGATATTTTGTTCTGCTGGTTTTCAAAGAAGTAAATTTTTAAACACTCAACAAATGTTAATATTTGTTAACATTTTATTGACTATTTAAAAATTTATAACAGTGAATTACTTTTTATTTTCTTCTTTCTCTGAATTCTCTCTTCCTCTACATCATTACACATTATAAATATTTATACATACAAATATTTTTTTAGTACCAGAACCTCTCACAAGTAAAAGAA